TCGGATACTCTGTGTAAAAAAAAAAAAAAAAAGGTAAGGTATATCTAAGTATGTATTATTCAATTAAAAAGAAAGTTGGATAGCTTTGAGACCTATTTCTGATATTAACTATATCATTTAAAAGTATAGCCCAACTTGAATTAAGAAAAAAAAAAATCCACATTTTATGAATGAACTCAATCCAGGCTGCTACCAGATCAAAATTTCAAGCATAGGAGGCTTGGGAAAAGAGGACAACCTCACTTCTCTTTAAAAAGAGACATAATTCTTCTCATATGGTTTGAATAAAACCATTGAGAAAACAAAAAGTCACCAAAAACGAAGAAAAATTTTAAAATTGCCCTTAACTTCTGAATTTCAGACATGCTTTTTGACAACTCTCATTTAGCCAAAATGGATTAAACACTTTTAGCAATTTTTGGTTTATCAAAACTAGAGCTGCTACATGTTATGTACATTGCCAGGAGATGAGGAGGAAAAAAACTCAATGCACAATTTGTCTGGGCAATTCACAGACTGTTGTATCCTTGCCCTAATCTGGCCTTCTCCCCCTTTAACTGACCTTCCCAAAGAAACATATGGCAAAGCACTTTCACACAGCAAAGAAGACAAGGGTGTTCTTGGAGAAATCCATGACTCTTTAAGCCTACATTTCTGTATTTCAAAATACAGAAATCACAATAATATTTTATTATATGCTAAATCAGTCCACCAAGTAACACACAGAAAAATATTTCATCTGAATATTTTATGGGAATTTATCAGAATAAGATAAACAAGTAGTTTCTCATTTCCTTGAGCTTACTGAGGAGCTAATGCCCTGAGAGTAATCCTTTGCTGGTGCCACTTAATTATAAAAGTAAATTCTGCCCTGCCATATGGGTTGGCTTTTTTCTAAGAAAACAAATGAACTCCCAAGAAGGTTTCAGATTGCAATAGAACTCATTTATTTTTATCTGCCAGGTCACATACAATATTAAGAACAATGCCTGGGGCACATTTTAAAGACACAGTTTCATGGGAGCATGGATTGCATGATTAATGTGAAGGCACGTACTAGCGTTGGAGTGGTACCACTCACTGATGGCTGCTGATGGTGTAAGGAAACTGAAACAAGGCTACAACACTGACTCCAGATTAACCAACTCAATATCTATAGGAGAACTGGATGTTTTGCAAAACAAAAAAAAATGAAAAACTATCAACCAGTTATAACCTTCTCACAAGGAGTGGAAGACAACCTGAGGAAGCTGAGGGCAGGGAGAGGCAGACAGATACAATTGTAAATCATCTATTTTTGCACAGCAACAGGATGCCCACAGACATCAGAAGACCACCTTTATTTCCCAAACTGGACAAGCAAGACTAATCTCAGCAATATAGGATGAACTTCCCAGTTATTGCCTGCTATGGTGAATACTATAAAGTCCCCACCATATTTTTGAAGATCTCTATATCAAAATTATTTCTGTTCTAATTTTGTTTGCCTCAGCAAAATGTGATGAAACTCATTCCTAAATTACTAAATTGACTAAATTACTCATGGCCAACTTGAACTATGGTTTTCTGTCAACACTGCTGTTCCATTTATACTGCTACATCCTTTTCTAGGTGCACCTGCTGATGGATTTATGGGTAGGTGCTGTCCACACATTCAGGCCTTGTTATCCTGCACCACATTTCCAACCCTCTTCTCATCTGCCTTTTAGCAGTCCTTCCTTACATTCCAACTAATTTCATTAAACCTTGTTCATGCATAAATAAACAGAATATTGCACACTAGCACAATTTAAAGCTTCCAAAGAACGTTGTGCAAAGAGATCAAAAGTTCTCAATCACTCTGGGAGGCACCTTTTGGGGTATCATAGGGTCATATCTGTCTTTCCATGTAGTTGCATTGGCAACTCCCAACAGGAATGCAGTCTGGATCCCAGTTGGGATCTTTGCTACCATTCTCAATAAGACAAATCATAAATATCTTTAGAGGCTGTAGAACTTCATAAATGAAAGAGAGTCACCCGCCATGAATATCTTTAAATATCGGATTTAAAGATTTCCAATAGTATCAAAATTTTCACAATAAGTATTTGGTTAGATTTCTAAGGCAGAGAAATTTGGGATCATTAAATCCATTATGGTGGAAAAAGCCAATTATAAACATAAGATGAACCAAAACACAGCTTCTGGCCGTGAAAAATCATTTCTCTAGTTTAGAATACCACCAAATTACTAAAGCAGAATCCTGAAGGTGCAAGGATGGAGTGGGCTGACCCTGGTTGAAGACCAGTTTCTCATCAAAACTGCTCTATCACTCCCCTCCTCAACTGGGCAGGAAAAGAAAATAAAACAAAAGATGCATAACGACAGGGAGACATCACTCACTGATTACCTTCATGGGCAAATAGAAACAACTTGAAGAAATTAACTACATTTATTACCAATCAAGATCAGAGTAGATCTGATTACAGGCTGGGGATGGTGTGGTTGGACAGTGCCCAGGCATAAAGGGACCTCGGGGTACTGGTTGACAGCCGGCTGAACATGAGCCAGCAGTGTGCCCTGGTGGCCAAGAAGGCCAAGGAAATCCTGGCCTGTATCAGGAATGGTGTGGCCAGCAGGAGCAGGGAGGTCATTCTTGCCCTGTACTCAGCACTGGTGAGGCCACACCTCGAGTGCTGCGTCCAGTTCTGGCCCCTCAGTTTGGGAAGGATGCTCAGACACTCGAGCACTTCCAGAGGAGGCAGCAAGGCTGGTGAGGGCTTGGAACACAAACCCTGTGAGGAACAACTGAGGGAGCAGGGGGTGTTTAGCCTGGAGAAAAGGAGGCTCAGGGGAGACCTTGCCACTCTACAGCTCCCTGAAAGGTGGCTGTAGTCAGGTGAGGGTTGGTCTCTTTCTTCAGGCAGCAATGGACAGAACAAGAGGACACAATCTCAAGCTGCACTAAGGGAAATATAGGTTGGGTATTAGGAAAAATTTTTTCACAGAAAGGGTGATAAAATACTGCAATTGTCTGCCTGGGGAGGTCATGGAGTCACCATCCCTGGATGAGTTTAATAAAAGACTGCATGTGGCACTCGGTGCCATGGTTTAATTAAGGTGTTAGGGATAGGTTGGACTCAATGATCCTGAACATCTCCTCCAACCTAGTCATTCTGTACATTCTGTGATTCACAATGAATAGATTCGGTCTACCTGCAGTGGAGACTACATGCAGAAGGTGTGTAATCAGTGAGATTATCAGTGTGATCGACACTTGTAGTATTGGGACTACAGCACCCTGAAAAGTGGCTGCTAGTCTCTGAATCTAGGATCCCATGATGTACAGGGACTCATGGGGCACAATGCCTAAAGAACAGAAAGGTGTGTACTGAAAAGGATGCACTGAAATCAATAATACATACAATTAGAGAAAACTGCAGGCAAGCTTAGGTATTCTAAAGGAAGATCTCCATGGCCAAACAACACCAGAAAGGTTAAAATTTAGAATGGAAATGCAGAATAAGGAAAGGGAAAATCAATACCTTCTATGAACAAGTAACAGCCAACTGTACTGAACTGCGTGAAACAAAATTGCTGTTATAATTTTAATAACCTTGAATTATTTTTTTTTTAATTTTAGTCAGAATAAGAGATATAAAGCTCTGAAGCATCATTAACTTTTAGGAAAAATAGATCTTTTGATGTATGGGATCTTTAGCAAAAAAGCAGAATTAATAGCTGATTTTTTTTGTAGTCACTGCTCATTCAACAAAATCATCCCAAGCTTATGCCACAGTGATTTAAAAAGCTTCATCAAAAGCACTGGTTTAAATGAGCTTATTTTTTTCTCAGATTTGGACTCCAGATAAACAGTATAGAAAATAAAATAAGAGAGGAAGGAGAGAAAAGTTTTGGGTTTTTTTAACAGTTATTGGAATATCTGTACAGAATGCACTAATCCAACACACATTTCCATGGGTCTGGGGCCTGGGAAGAGGCTCAGACAACATATGATGACAGTCCTTACAGAGTAGCAGCAGTTGATAACCTCACACCTTGTTCCATTGGGTAGTTTACATGATTGAAATACCAACATCAAGAAGGCACAGAGGACCCCACTTCATGTGGACCAAAGATATATGAATATACACACATGCCTATTTCCACACTCAGAAAGCTTTCCCCTGTAGATAAGCAACTTCCACTGGTCCATGGAATAAAGTTTTCTTGCAGTGCCTTTTATGACTCTGCATTTTGAACCTCATTTTCATCCAAGAAGCAAACTGGGAAACAGAAATATATTCCAATGCTAAAGCTAACAGATAAGTGAAGAGAATAGAACTTTGTTAATTCAAAGGCAAAATATATTCAGAAGGTGGGTGTGAATAATAAGTTTAGATGGTTACATTTTTGGCCAACCAAGATGTTTTACTATGCCCCATATGCTAAGAGGGGAAAAAAAAATAGTGTTCAAGGACTGCCACAGCTTCAATGTTGACATCTAAGACAGTGTCACTGTTGATCACAGCTTGCAGAGTGCACTCCTACTGTGCAAACAGTGACTACCACCAACTTTACCACTAATTCTGCAGTCCTTAACAGATCGCTCCTGGCATCGGAGTGAATAATTATTAGAAACATCCCAACACAAAGAGCCACATTGTGTAGCCAAATTTGGGATCATCCTAAGCTTCATGTAATGGCAACTTTTGTCATATTGCCATATGGAACCTGCTTGTTCTACTGGATGCACACAAGGATTGTGTACTCCAGGATAGTTCTCCTAAAAATTAGGATAGTGTAAGCTATTATAAACCTTGATGCCAGGCAGGCAGTCCATCTTGTAACTCCGGTCACGGATTAGAGAAATAAACATACATCACATCCAGTTTAGGGGGTCTAGAAAGCAGGGGAGTCACACAAGAGCACACTGATATTGGAATTTGGCTAAATACTGTTTATCAACAAAGAACAAAATCCAGTCTGGTGCAACACAAAAGAGAAAATAAATTTCTCACCTTGCTCCAGCAATAAGCTCTTTTTGTCCTGGGTCAAATGTTAACTGTGAGAAGTCCACAGCATCTTCTGCTTTGAACACGTGTAGCCAAGGGGCAATTTCTAAAAACAATCAAGAAATACAACTTTTACAATAAATGTTATAGGTGCAGTCACCATTAAATCTGCAGATATTTCGAGTGGGTCTGCAAGTTTTCTCCTTATGTTCCTCTAAGGAAACATAGGAGACTTTCACCACCACGCCATTCAATTTATAGTACAGGCCTGTAAAATATATAGGGCAGCCACCTGATACACACTTGAATCAAGTATCCATATTTTGTTCTGAATTGTTTTTCCTCCTTGGGTAAAGCAGAAAACACCACAGTACAACTGCAATTCACTCGGACATACTCAAGTAAAGTTAGATTAAATTTCCATGCATTAAAAACAGTTGAGGACTAGAGGGTTGGGGTTTTTTTAGTTAGCTATTTAGTTATTTCTTTTCTTTACAAAAGGATCTGATTAAGTGAAAAGCAATGAGGAAAGCAGGTTTGACTTTTCATCATTTTTCACAATAAAAAGGTAGAGAAATGAGGGAAAAAGCAAAAATGTTTGACATTCTTTGAACTTTTTTTTTCACTTTCCTTTCTCAGACCAATTTAGTGCTACATTAAGCAGGGCAGACAAGCATGTGAATTACTGAAAATCAGCAAGGGGCATTACTTGTATTCAGAATACAAACATGTTCCTACTTTCCAACTTAAGCACACATAAATAGTTGCAAATCAAATCTTTAAATATGTTCATTACTAGTAGATTATTTTTTCATTCATATCACTAACTGGACACTAAACAGTTTGGCTAAATAAACACAATATTGTGGGAACAAAGCATAATTATCTTTTATTCTTAATTTTTTAAAATAGACATGCAGAATATAGAAAATTTCTGTAGAAATAGAAATGGTAGAAATGGCTTGCTAAAAAAAAGTCCAATTGTACAAAACTCTCATTCTCCAGAATTCTGAAATTGTCAGGACATTGACTGAAGCTTTTTTGTTTGTTTTTTTTTTTATGTAGTCACAAAGCAGTGGGCTGGAACTTATACGAAAGGTGAAGAGGGCTGAGTATGTACGGCTCAATGGGCTGCAGCCCTAATTGAAGATTACAGGTGTCAAACAGCCACTTGAAAGACCAAAATCAAGCTCATGGTCAGGACCATTTAGAACATGGAGTCAAAACCAACCCAACCCCCTGAGGGTGCTGCACAAGTGCAATTTTTGACAATGGTATCATTAGCTGCAGCTCAGGTTAAAAACACTCATTCTAAGCTCGCTTCTTCACTCACGAGCATATTTTTGCTTTGGCAAATGTCTCAGTTGAAATAATCCATGTCTGGTGCCTGTTTCAGGATGATTTGTTCCTAATTTAAAGTTTTAGCACAAGTGGGCTATCCATTCCTAAGGAATGGGCCCAGGAGAAAAATGTTATTCTGAGTCAAAATGTGTTCAGCCATTGCAGACAACCATTAAATGCAGTGCGCAGAAGCTGCATCATCATATACTTTGGAAAAACAGATGGAACTGTGAAATAGAATCACTTGGGTGTCAGAAAAGTAACTTCTGCATTTTTAATGTCAGCCCGTACGCATCTGGGCAATTTCAGGCTAGCAATGCCAGTTTGTACATGTTCTACAGCACTTGTAGCTAAATTCACTCTTGATTTCCATCTGCATTGGATGGGTGCTCAAACCAGGATTCAGACACTGGGGTGGAAAGGGGATATGGCCACATATTAGATAACTGTGATTACAGCTGCCATCAGCCATTACTGCAGATGCTGTGCAGAGAACCCAGCAGGATTCTGAGGGAGCAAAAACACTCATATACATTACAGGCCTGTATATATAGTCTTATACATACATATCTATTTTTATTTAAATATATATATATGGCTACACAGGCAAGCATAAAACAAGTGTTTCCTAAATTTTTTGTACTTGATTTTGCAGCTTTAACTTTTCAATCATGCATTTCATATAAAGTAATCAATTTAAAAGTTATAAAACATGAAGAAATTAGGTAGGACATGAAGATGAGGAAATCCAAAGGTAAATCACAAAGAATCTCAGTTACTGGCAAAAAAGGGGAAAAAATAGAGAACAAAACAAAAAAACCAGCCAGACCCACGGTGGAAACATCAGTCTCTGAAAGAGTGACAAGGTAAGCAGCTGAGAATGGAATTATCCCAGCTCCACATTGGTAGGACAAGTGAGAGCCTTGGTCTTCTGAAAGAAGAGGAGAGGAGTGGCTCCCCACAGCATGAGAGGCCAGGGACAGCTCAGCACACAGAAATACTGCAGTGCCACAAGACCACAGGGAAGACTGAGATTCAAAGACTCAATTCTCTTCCACTTGTCCTGCTGTCTCAGCACGACACAATAAAGGTTCAAGGTACAGCAAGCAGGTGATTGAGACCACTTCCAGGTTTGGAGCAAGGGGCCAGGCAGGGCAAGGCAAGCCCAGGCTAGAGAACAAGAATGAGGACTTGCTAAGAAATCTCTCTGAAATCTGAATCCCCTTCAAAATATAAATTATTTTATCCTGTCTTTGTTGCATTCAGCAGTGCTCTTGCTTGAGGGAATAAGGTCAGGAAGAGCAAATAGCTGCCGGAGCTCTTCTTTTTCAGAAAACACTCTGAAACTGCATCTCTTGTGAGTCACAGTGGCAGCATGTGTCACACAGAAATAAGTATTTTTGAGATGAAGCTACAACTTCACGACACTTTTGTAAGAGAAATTAACAAAAACAGTGCCTGCAAAAATTTTAAAAAAGGTAATCCAACCCCATGTACACAGCAAAAATAAAAGCTTATGTAACTATTTAACAGAATAATTATGTTTCTTTTCACCAAAACAGTGAAATCTAGCTGAAAACCCATAGGTGAAACAAGACTTTTTAGTTTTGCTTTGAATTATCTCCTTAGAGTCAAAAAAACATAATTAGCCACTAAAGGCCTATAAATTATTTTTCTTCCAATTAAAATCATAATGGTAAAGTAGTAAGAAGTAATAATTTAAATTTATTAATGTTTTCATGCAGATGCAACATGACAAGCTTTACACAATAACACAGCAGTACATTTTGTGTACTACAACAGTAGCATAAATAAATGTGTAAGGGAGTTAAGCTGCCCTGCCAACACATAACATAATAGTATTGCTTGCTGGTCACAGGTGACAAACAGCAACATCCCTACACTTTCCCATTCTAACCCTCCCCTTCCCGACATTCCCCTCCCTCTCCTCTGCCCTACCTTCATGCGAATTACAGTAAAGCACCAAGCCCTTTATTGACTTCTCTCTTCTTACTCCTGATACTGAGAAGACTTATTGAAACACAGCTTCAGCCTGGACTTGTTTTTCCTTTAAAACTAAGTAGGCATGTTTGCCCATCTGCAGACATCAGTCTGGGACTCAAAGCTGTCATGGGGAAACTACCATAGTACACATACAGTCATGAGAGCAGGTGATTGCCAACACTCACTGCATCCTTTTGGTACATTCGAGACATATTTACCCTTAGAAAAACAACCAAAAAAATTTTTCATTGCTGTTAGAGGACTGAAATCTTCAGGCCTTGTAACTCGAAAATATTCCCAAGAAAAATAGTTTCCCATGGAACTAAAAGATGGATGTCGAAAAACAAAAAAAAAAATCTTTCTGAGAAGGCTACAGCTCTCTTTCACACACTGGGAATCGAATGTTATAGGTTTTGCTGGGGGGTTCAAGCTTTGGGAGGGAGGGTTAATAGCTTAAATTTAATATAAAACAAAGTTTGTCGTGGTCCATAAATCGACAGCAAAGCAAACACACCGGATTCCACCCAGCTCAGAGGAAAGGTCAAGGAATTCTCTTTAAGAGGTTTAAAGACAAAGGAAGTTAACAATCAAAGCTGTGCAGTAGGACATTAGATACTCATATTTTAAAAAATGAAAGACTAGAAACCTGTCTCTGTTTTACTTTAAATTTAGCATCTGCCCAACAGGCCATGACTTGATTGGTTTACATTGTTCCAAGGACTCCCCAAGGGTAGAACTCTTCAGTTCTTTGCAAATGAAATTGTAAAATTCCCTCTAACCTAAGTTTCACTGTTCAGTACTTCAAAGTAGAGCTACAGTAAACAGTAAAATAAATTGAGAAATTACTTACAAGGAATAGAATGGTATGTTTAGAGCCAAATTCAGAGGTGATCTATAATAATAAAACTTTGCAAATAACAAAGTCCAAAGACAATAAGGACCTCCTGATTTCATTTTAAAATTACCATAGATATTAAAAGTTTCAGTACTGTTTATAGTGTATGTATGTGACACCTCGTGTCATGGTGTCCTTTTTGAAAATAGTGAGCACAATTTAAACATATGCACAGCAGCATCTTCTTGAAGAAACTCTGTTAGCAAAATAACAATGATAGCAATAATAATAGTAATACCACAACAATAATACCGCCACAATAACAGCACAAAATAACACCATAGTTGAAAATTAGCAGATTTGCAATATTAACAGAAGTCTCTGGGTGGCATCAGTACAACAAACTCACTAATCTTATCAGAAGAAAATAAAAATATATTTCTGCATGCTAAAGCTATTTCACAGTTAAATGTATCTAATCTAAGGATGATGCAATAACTCCATCTTCCTGAAGCTGTGTGAAAATTTCAGCCTTAGATCTCCTCCTGTGATACTCAAGTTACACCACTATCCTCTTCAAAGGCAGCGAGACATGCCAGAAGTCTCCCCAGGGATGTGCCACGCTGACTCCACTGCATCACCCCCGGTGCCCTGGTGACAGTGCCATTAACCCCAGGGGAATCTATTAAGCAAGGTGTCAGGGCTGGCAAGAGGAAATCCACCTGTTCATTCATTCAGCATGTCCTGCCTGGGTGTTTCTTTGCAACATTGGTGCTTGGAGGACATAGCTAGGAGGACTTGTAAATGCTCTGCTGTGGTGCTTCAGGACTCCACAGTCTCTATCTTAAAACTAGAACTGAGAAAAACAAGATTTTCTTCAGCAGTTTCTGTGCACCACTGGTATTGATTCAGTGTAACTATTCTCA